CTCAGATGGGCATGGATAACATTCTAAGAGATGTATGGAGAGTACCCCAAGTATTTTTTCTCTAAAAACAATACAGTCCTGTATTTTCTCCCTTGGTTAGGCTTGGAAAAGGGGTAGTAGGGGTAGCAGTCCAGGAACTTCATTTGCATGAGCCTCAGTTTCCTCATTTATAAAACGAGGAGTTAACTGAAAGTGCAAATAAGGACTTAAAGGTATAATAGATAATGTGAAATAGGAAGAAAAGGGGCAAAGGGGAAGGAGAAGTGGGAGGGCTAGGGGAAAGGATAGAAGGGAATGGGATTAATATGAGAAAATGAAAAAAAGGGAAAAAAGTCATTGAAAATAGGGAGGAATGGAGGGGTTGAAGGGAGGGTGGGGGAGGGGAGAAAAAATAAGAACCAAGAGAGATTATGTAAAGGTGCATATCTCCAGTGATGAATGCCATTATATTGTACACCTAAAATGTACCAATAAAAGGATATACAATAAATAAATAAATATATAAGTTCTTGCCAAAAAAATAAAATAAAATAAAACACGGAGTTAAAAAGCCTAACTCAAAGGGTTATTGGGAGAATCGAGCCTGATAAAGTGTAGAAATCCCCAGAATCCTGGGTATTCATTAATCCAACAAGTGTTTCTCGGGAACTTACAAGTCCTTGATTCCCCTGGCACTTAGTTGGTGTTTCTTGCCCTTACCTTTACACAAATGCTTGCCACTGCTCCCCCCAATGCTTATTTACAATGTCTTTATGAAAAGTACCAATTGTCAAGATCCATTTTACAGCAGAGGATTTTACAGCTTAGAAATAAGTGAAAAATTATAGTCCCACGCATTAATTTCTTCTTCAAGAAAATCTATCCTGTAAAAAAAATAGCCTTTCTTGCCTGGCATAGTGAAGCATGCCTGTAACCCCTGTATTCTCAGTGGCTGAAGCAGTAGGATCACAAGTTTGAGCCCCACTGAGAAATACAATGACTTAGTAAGACCCTGTCTCAAAAAATTTTTTTTCTTAAATTACTGCCATCCTTACACTGGGTGTTTTTCCAAGGAAAATGAATGAGTGAATGAATGAATGAATGAATGAATGAGGGAGTTGATGATTTTGGCCTCCAGAACCTGTAACAAAGCAAAGTGGTCAACCGAGAGCTGTCTCTAGGGGGCACTGGTGAACTAGGCATGGGAAGAAGCGCTGACTGCAGCACATTAACTGCTTTACAGCAGGACCAAGGTCTTCCTTTGAATAAGGAGGGTCAACCCACCTGGCCTGCCCGTGTGTGTGTGTGTGTGTGTGTGTGTGTGTGTGTGTGTGTGTAGCTTTATCTACCTGATATGCTGAAATGCCTGCCTGCAAATGTCTCCTTTATCAATCTACTTTGTCCCATTATTAAAGACACTCCTTTTGGGGCTGGGGATTTAGCTCAGTGGTTTCGCCACCTGCTGCGCAAGTGCAAGGACCCAAGTTCAATCCCCGGTATCAAAAAAAAAAAAAAAAGACACTCCTTTTGAGTCAAGTCCAAAGTCTCCATAAATGTCTTATTAAAGCATATATTTTGACATGAATGAATTGATAAAATTAATTAGCTGTCCCTTTGTCCCTTTGGGCCCTTGCGAGGCCTTTATTTATTTTTCTTTCCATGCTGGAGATTGAGCCAGGACCTCCTGAGTACTATGCAAACACTCTCTACGGAGCTACACCCGCAGCTCAGGATCCATCTTTTTAAAGATTAAGCCAGCAGGAAGGATCCTGCCATCGGTCACTCAGAATCCCCAGTATAGAAAGAAGAGGCTGTGATCTGAAGAGACACAGCCAAGTTAGAGCTTTCAAAGCCCACCTTGAAAGTTACCTAACTTTCACTGTTTTTGCCCCAGAGTTTATTTTCCTGGTGTTAAATTAGCCTCATTTATTTGGAAGAGTGCAGACCCGGGGATGAGCTTCAGTCTCGCTTGCCTTGATTTTTTTCAGGTTCACCATGAAACTATGAATTAGGTGATCTCTAGATTCTTTTCAGCTCATTGTGTCATTTTGTCACTGGAGCCACCACATCCTGTTTCTCCTATCTCCTACATCCTGGTTTTACTACCTGAGGAAGCCAGCGGTACAGCTGGCATCTGGGGAATGTTCCAGAAAGACATAAAGCCAGGAGAGAGACAGAGGTAACTCCTCGCTGTTTGCCTCCCAAGCAGCCTTTCCACCCCACAGGCCCTACTTCAGCAGAGCTCTACAGAAGCCTGGAGTCCCTTAGCCCCTGAAGGGGAAGGCCCTGAACAAAAATGATTTACATCTTCCGCGTTCTAGTCCTAACCAAATTATGCTGTGGCCTTTCTCTTTTTGTCTGACCGAATGTCCACAAATACCTTTTCTTGATCCTTCAGAGCTTCTGTACCAGAAGGGGACATGGCACTGAAGCAGGGGTGTAAACTAGACCCTGAGGGGGTGGAGCAGCCTTCAAGGGTCCCTGCAGCTCAGCCATGCCCAGTGCAGGCTGAACCACTGTTGTGTCAAAATGTGGGTCCAAGCGTGTCACAGTAGTGTTTTGTTTTTTTTGAAAAAAAAAGACATCTAGGCAATTTTTGTGCTCTCTCAATTGGTAAAAGTTGGTAGTTGACTAAAACATAAACAAAACCAAACCAGGGAACTTCTGTGCTAGCTCTGAACCCTGGCAGTGCAGCTGTGGCTGTGTGACTTGGTGAAGAGCCTGGCGCAGCTGGTCCTTTGATGGGCACTGCCCAGGCATTTGGAGGCTTTGTCCTCAGCTCTCTCCAAGGCAGAAGCCACCTGGAAGGTTTGGGAGCTGTGTATATGGGACCCTCTTTCCTTTGTGGCTTGTTCAGGCTTTTGGACACTAGCCCAACTGAGCCAGGTGTACACCTTGGATAAAGTCCTCTTGTTTCAGTCCATGGGTCTCTGCAGTCACTTAGATTTCTGCAACATGCCCAAATATTTCAGGTCATATTGGCTCAACTGTGTTTATAAAATCATGACTTTTCTGCCTTCTTCTTGGATTTCATTGAAATCTAATTTTTAAAAAGTTTTGCATAATATGTTGAAAGCTATTTCATGTCTCTTTGTGGATATAAAAAAACCCCTAAAAACAAACAAACAAAAACATCTTTGTTTTATACCAGCCAGTCTTCTACCTTCTGCTCATCACCAAGAATGAAATGTTAGATTTCTCTCCCTCTCTCTCTCTGTCTTTTTTTGTTGTTGTTGTTCTGGGGATAGAATTCAGGGCCTTATGCTTGTAAGGCAGGTGGCAGCACCACTGAGCTAAATCCCCGGCCCCAAAATGTTAGATTTCTAAGCTATGATTCTTCTTTCTTTTCATCCATATTTCTTAACTGGTAATTTTCTTTTTCAAACTCTCACCTTCAACTTATTCTCCAAAAGTTCACAAGGTACAGTTGGATTATATTTCAAGGGGAAATGAGTTATAATTCTTCCTTTTCTTTGTAATTAATTATATGAAAGTATCTGTCATACGTAACATATATTAGATAATTATATCAAGTAAATTGTTATTCTCTTTTACACTTTTTGTAAACCATAATCTTAATTGTTAAAATAAAAATTACCAGTGCTTATTTGGGACTCATGCTAGTGTATACAAGTTGAAAACATTGCCTTTGAATCATACATGATTTTATATTGAATCCTATAACATTGTAACATACACCTAGTGCACCAGCCTCAGCCCTTTATACTGTGCCCAATAAATATATTTTGATTGACTAAATGAGCAAATAATGATGAAGAAGAAATGTTAAGGTGATTCTGTTTCAGGATAGCAAAATATACTTTAAAGAAGTTAAAGTAAATGTGTATGGTTCACTATTGGAGCTCGAGTCTCTCTGATGGAAGACCGAGCCCTGGGGTTGGAGTAGGAGCTGTTCTTCTGCAGCGTCCAACCCAATAATTCCGGTTTACCATTTTTATTTTTTTGCTGCATCAATGTTTATTATGTTTCTTTAAACAAATTCTCTGTTTTATTCTTATAACAGTATTATGAAAGAAAAACTACAAACATTAGCAAAAATAAACATATATTACTAAACTTCAGTTAAATAGCGTTGCTGGAATTCCCAGAGCCTGAAACTTGCTCTTTGTTAGAAGGGGAAATTGTGAAGGGTTAGAAACGGCAAAGATTTATTTCCATCAAAATAAGATTTGTTTCCTTGATAGAATCAAAAAGATTGACGGAGAAGTGAAAAGGGAACAATGTTCTATGTTCGAAGATGCAGCACATCTGTGTAGCACACAACCTTACCCTATACATGGGGGGTTTTGACCCAGTCCAACTTGCTCATTCTACCAAGAGCAGAGAGGGGCAGGGCAGTATGGTGTCTTGCCCATTTGCAAGAATGGGGCCTCAAGTCCCAGCCTTCTTCTCCCTGGCCCTGAAAGTAGCTGCCTCACTTACAAAGATGGAGACCTAGCTCGGCTACAAAGACAGAAACAAGACCTGAAACAAGAGAGGAAGCAGAAGCCTACCGAAGACTCTGGAGGACACAGGGATGTGCTGGGCCTCAGAGGTAGTGGGGTTGGGGCATAGAAACGGGGAATTCAGGGAGTTGTGAGGAAGTAGTCATCTGTCCTGTGCCAAGTCCACTGGGACAGGGCCATGCAGGGCCAGAAGAAGGAAGTCACTTGTCCTTGGTCTCATGGCCTCTTATGGCAGACACAGAGCTACAGCCCCACTTCTGCCTTCCAAGCCTGCATTCTTCACCTGGCACCACTCATTTTCCAGCTCTGACATCCCTGCCTGCCTGCAAAGCCTGAAGTAGTATTCCTAGCCCCCGGGGTCTGAGGCCTGTGACACTCAGTACATTTATTACTGTTGCTTTTTTGTGCCAATGGGAAGAAGCTGGGCTTCCTTCCTGGACCAGTTGCCCCCAGAGTCTTGGCTGAGACTGGTCATTCGTCTCTAGCCCTACACTGCCCAGCACAAGGAGACCCACGCTTGCGGTGATTCAAGTGGCTGCCCCAGGGGTAACTCACCGCCATTCGCTTCCCGCAGCTCTCGTTACCACAGCACCCGTAGCAGTCATTGTTCTTCAGGCCCAAGAACACCAGCACAGGGAAGATCATCTGCCAGGAAGACAGAGAGGCACCTCAGAGGGGCTGGGGCTGAGGGGAGACCTGGCCTGCCCAGGAGGTGAGGAGCCTTCTCCACCCCGAGGGACTTGGCGGCTCAAAGGGGATGGCAGGGACCCACAGCCTGGCTCACAGGGTAGATAGGTGTCAATGAAGACTGGGGTTCCAGGTGCCCTGAGTGATCTCACCTTCAATGAGGCAGGACTGCACCCTGATTTTCCATTTAGATGGGGGGGGGTTGGGACAAGAATAAGGAACTTGTCCTCAACTGTCATAAAAACTGAGACCCTACACTCCCACCCCAGAGGTTCCCAACTCTGTTGGCAGCAAGGGGTAACAAAATCACTTGGGCACAGTGGGAGAGGGCTGCTCAGACATGTGTGTTGCTTTGTGGTTTTAAGTCAACACACTTTCTTGAAAGTATTCCCTTTTATTTTTAAAATTTGTTTGACATCATCTTGCAATAAAGAAATTATGTGGCCTTCAGTCTGGTTCATGGGACTTGAGTTCCCATACGAACTGCCAGGCTTAGCTCGGGGATTAATTGCTTAGTAAATCAACATGTTCTTGTCAGAGAGAAGTAAAGTAAGGCACTGCTTTTCCTCATGCAATGCTTGGGCTTCTGTTAGCTTCTAAATATCTTGCAGATCACTGAGTACCTGATTTTAAAGGGATAAGAGAAAGGGGAATCTGCTTTAGGGGGATTTGAAAGTCTCCCTACTTACCAAGACCCCACTTCCTAGTATTCCTCCGAAATACCAGACCTCTTCAGACAGGTGGCTGTTGTTATCGATCACTTTTCCTCCAGGGAAAAACAGCAGGATGTTAGCCACTAAGCCAAACAGAGCCAGGGGGATGAGGGTGCCCCCCAGGCACTTGGCGCAGCTCCCGAAGCACATGCTGGGCCCGCGCGACACCACTCAGCTCCTCGCTGCCCTCTTTCGGGTCCCTTCAAGGCTTTGGGTAGAGGGTGCTGGTGATTGTCCCTGATTCAGTCAGTATTTGGGGACTGAGGTCCAGATCTCTGTGAACTGTATCCTTGGAGTTGCTTTAGCCTCTTAACTACAGAGGGCCTTTGATGGCAATGGACATTTATATTTTTTTGCACCCTCATAAATGAGATTACGTTCAGCGCAGTCGCTCAATCATTTTGCCATGGAGACCAATAACCTCTGTTAATAATCCACCAGCCCAGACAAGACACACTGCTGCGATCGAAGAGAGGGGTGGAAAAAACAGTTTGAAACCACTGCACCTTTAATCTGACAATTCCTTTGTCTAAATAAAGAAATATTCCACTGGGCTCCTTACAAATCACTTGTATAATTGGATTACATCCTGGTTAAATCATGTCTCCAAGTACTTAATGGTCTGTCTTGCGTGTCTTTGGTCTTTTCCGCTGAAAGCCAGGAATGCAGGATTACCAAAAGGAGCTTCTGTTTTCCTCAATATGAAAATAATTTGATGGTCTAATTGGATATCACTGAGCTCAGACCTTTTTAAAAAATAAAATCAGGATAAATATTCATTTTATTGCCTGATAGCTGTATTTCTTTACTTTCTACGCAAGTAATTAAGTTCTATGTTCCTCCCTACACAATGTCATGGAATTAGCAAAAACAGTTTTCCTACTCAACTTGTTCAGCTTTGTCTTCCACATAGAATTAAAATCTTCTGCACTGATAGAGGATAAGGGGAAAGGCAGGTTGGCACCAGGTACAGGAGGAGAGGGAAGATACTGAGTTTTCACTAGAGGCAGAGGACAAAGCTGAAGAGCATTTAGAGGTTGTGGAAGGCAGTAAAATGCACCCTTATTGGGAAATTTGCCAACTTGCAGGAGCATGATTCAGTTATTAGCTTGCTGTGTGGCAGTTAGGAAAGTCTCTGCCACGCCTAGGCCTGCCTGGTACTTCGATGATGGTGACGCCACAGGTGTAGGGCGAGGCGCAGAGCACGGAGCCTCACAAGCTCCCCTCTGAGAGTCTAGAGGTCAGAATTAAAATAACAGAAACAGTTTAAAAACACTTTTATTAGTGTATGTTTGCAATACATAATGAATATATTTATTGTGTAGGAGTTTTTAGGGAATCAAATGTTTGCAAAATAAAAGGCAAGTGACATAATCACAGTGAGACCTGTCTCAGGGAAGCAGGGCACTGAAGCCTCTGGGTGCATTGGACAGAGGAGCTGGGGAGGACTCGGAGTCAGACCAGATGGACACTGAGGTCCTGTACAAGGGTATGTGAGATGTATGCTGCTTGCCCTATAAATCCATTTAGCAGTCTCCAGAACAGAGAAAGAAAGAAGAACCCAAAGTCTTCCTTGAGCACTCGCGATATGCCACGCACAAAGGAGCAAATCACCACCTTTATCATGGCTCTTCTACAGACAAAGACACTGGCTCAACAAGGCTAGATGAGTTTTGTGAGGTCATCCTGGTATAAGGATTTAAGGATAAAAGGGTATAAGCTGACAGTTTAAATCAATACTGCATTGTTGATATCCACACTGTGGTCTCTCTAATAGATTTTCCCTTTTAGAAACAAACAAAAATAATCTTTTCAATATAAACAATACAGTGGCACTGTGTTTGAAATAGGGGATATTTCCTTCTGAGCAACAATAAAAGTATGACTAGTTCTTACTATGAAATAATATGTGATATTCTTTTCATAGAAAAGTCAGATATGAGGGCAAGTAGGAGGAAGAAAAGGGAGGACCAGCTGGGTTCCACCACCCGCAGATAAGGACTATTAGCACTTTGCTGATGGTTGATTTCTGACAACCTACAGGTGCATGGTCCTGATTCATAACCCACCAGCCTTTCACGGGCAGCCTTGGGAGCAATTTCACCAAGAGGCCAAAGGCCCTAGGGATATAAAAGATTAAACAAAAAAATGCCACCTTTGAGGCAGGCAGTTCCTCTTTGGGAAGCAGGTAGTGTTTTTTTCTTTATCCAGAGACTGTGCATTTTTCCTCTAGAAGCTACCATCATGGCATTTGCTTGACACTACCCTGTGCAGCCCTGATATCCTAGACTTTTCAGACCAGCTCTTGGAGTTGTCTGTCTGTATAATCTGAGCGAGCAGAGGAAAGTAAAGGATACTGTGGATCAATTTCAGTTTTCCCTTAAAGATGTGGCACATGAATATCTGTGATGGAAAGCCTGAGCATTTTCTTTCCTGTCTAGGGAGGGGAAACCCTGAATGACAATCATTTTTCTGGAATGTCCTGATCACTTGAGCCTCAAATATTTGTGTAGTGACTACCTCATTATTTGTTCAACTATTAATTATGCCTTCAGACCCTCAGCAGGAAGTTGAACAGCTAATCAGGAGAGGAGGATGAGGGAAGGAAGGAAAGGTTGGAGACATGTGCAGTCATGAAGTAGAGAGGTCCCAAGAGACTGGTGGAGGTAGTAGAGAAAGCAGTGTGAGATTCTGGGAATCCTCCTTGTGATGACCCTGCTCGGTGGTCTGTTTCCTATTGTCTGTTCCTGTGGGAGCTTAGTAGTGAAGTCCAGTGACACAGCCCAGGAGCAGGTGATGTTTCTTTTGGGCCTCTGATACCTGATCAAGGCCTGCCTGATACTTAGGTGGAGCTTACTATTACTGACCAGAAGGATGGGAAACATCTGGACTGGGAGAAGGCAGTAGCTATTCTTTAAGTGGAATAGTGGCATGATTCGCTCCCCCGTGCCCAGGGAATATCAAAATGAAAATTTGCCAAAAGAGCCACTATCCTGGAATAGGTTGGACTAGAAAAGGCCCAACAGGCCTGAGGAGCTAGAGGACACAGAGCCCCCTCAGACTATCTCTCAGAACCTAGAGTTTTCATTTACCATTTCGTGGTAGGAGCCAACATTTACATAACTCTTCCTGAATGTCAGGCACTTGTCTAATAGCTCCATGTTATTAACTCATTTAACCTTCAGAGCAATTCTATAAGGCAGATATTTTAATTATTACCTATATTTGAGGGACCAGGAAACCAAAACAACTGCTAAGTGTTGCTCTGGTTAGTGACTTAGTAATACCCTGCCTCAAAATGAAAAATAAAAATGGGCTGGGGATATAGCTCAGTATGAAGGCCCTGGGCTCAATTTCCAATACTGCAAAAAACCCCAAAGAATAAAAAACAGTAACCATTTTATTGTATCTCATTATTTTGTGGGTCAGGAATATGGGTAGAGATCCATTGATGATTCTTCTGCCCCAGGTATCATAGATTGGGATTATTTGCTCTCATTCAACTAGTGGCTGCCTTGGTTTGTGGGTCTAAAATGCTGTCGTTCATGTGCTGGATGCCTGGATAGGATGGCTATAAGACTGGATCAGCTGGATTTTCCTTCTAAATCCCTGTGGTCTCAGAGGTCTCCACATGGCCTCTTCAGCAGTGTAGTTAGACTTTTCCATGGTGGCCCAAGGCTTTAAGAGGTAAGTGGAAACTGCCATTTTCCTAAGGCCTGAATTGGATACTAGGGCAGACTACTTTCACCCTATTCTGTTTGCCAAACTAGGCTCAGAGTCAATTTAGATGTGAGAGGAGGGGACATAGACCTCACCTCTCCATGAGAATAGTGTCAGAGAATTCAAGACCATCTTTAATTCACTACAAGAGTAAGGGGGGATTTGAACTAAGGGAGCCTGGCTGCAGATATTATGGTTTTAACCGCCACAATACAGTGCTTCAAAACCCCCTAAACTGGTACCTACTGTCTGAACAACATAGAGAGGGTTGCTTGATTTAGGTTCAACTCAAGACATTTTTCATCCACAGGCTGAGTTATCTGGGTAATAGCTTCTGTTCTGTGTGAGTAGACACAGCTTGACATAGGGTTCGGACTCAAGGAACTAACAGGTATGATTTATGCCTAAAAGTCAATGTCTCCATCTGATTTCAAATCTAACATGCAAGTACAAGTCTAGTTCTACTGCTTGGCTCAAAGGGGTCCTGTGTGAACTTCTCCAACACATGTCTCGGTACAAAAGGGCAGAGCTGTGACCTCTAGGAGAGGTGTGAGCAGTGGCTGATAAGTCTGTCCAAGTGATCTGCCCCAGTATTGATTTGTTTTAGCATTCTCCTATGTTGCCGTGGTTATAGGTGAAAAGTTAACTCTCAACAGAAACTCACTCCTGTCAGTGCTCCATAAAGAAAAACATCGCTGAGGTGCCTCATCTTCTTTTTGATATTAAATACACACATGGGTTATAAAGGAGACTTAAAAAAATGCACAGCCTTCCATACAGGCTCTCTACTTGCTCGTATCTCTCCCTCACTGCCTCCCTTCATGCACAGAACTTTTTACTCTTTTTAGACAAGACAAGATATCACCAATTGGCTGACAGTTCTTTTGTTCAATTTGTATAGTAATCATGAACAGGTAAAGTATATCTCTTTTTTTTTCCTGGCAGTGCTAGGAGATTAAACCCAGGGCTTTAAATACACTAGGCAAATACACTACTCCTATGCCATATCCCTGGAGCATTTTAGTTTCTCAGACAGGGTTTTTCTAAGTTGCTCAGGTTGGCCTTAAACTTGGCCTCTCAAGTAGCTGAGATTATAGGTGTACACCACCGTGCCTGGCAACTGTAATGTTTTTAGTGTTAACAGTCCTGAGCTTTGAATGCCAGACTATCCGCTCTCAGTGTTAGTGACCCTCAGCCACTGTCCTGGCGGCCAGAGTCAGCAAGCTCTCTGTAGGCCTGGGGAAGTATCCAAAGAGTGGCTCTTGGCAGTTCTCCACTGCTCTGCATCAGCCCTGGTTTCTAGCTGCTTTGGCACCAGTGGCCTTTGGTATTACCAGCTCAGGCTGCCTACTTGAGATAGAAATCATGACAAGACAAAAATATGTCTTCTGATCCAGGCTTTATTAGGACTTATGCTGCAGCTAAAGGGGAAAAGTACACAGACTGAACCTAACAAGGTTATGGGGAGGTTGCTTATGTAGAATTTAAAGTAGAAAAGGTGGGCTTGCACATGCGTGGTGGCAGATTTTCTGATCAGGCAGAGTTAGGGGAGGGGCCCTCCTCAACCTGGTTGAGGATGGCTGCAGAGTCATCCAGAAAGGCTGCAGGTAGACCATTGGGGATGGACCCTTGGCCAAAGCAAATGTCTCCCAGAGTGGGACATCCAGTGTAGCTATGGC